GAGGCCGGAAGAAAGGGACGTGACAATGAACAAATGAGATGAGTCAGTGTCATGTCCTTGAGGCTGCTTAATTACCTGCATTCATGGCTTTCCAGGCTTGTGAGGATCTGAAGCATCGATTTCCGATCGCCGGGAATCGGCGCCTGCGCTGGATCCACTGGGCGTCGCAGTGGCCACACTCGATGGACTTGCTTCTGCGCCTGCTCGGCCCCGAAAGGGGGAGAACGGGTCAGTGGGAACTGTGGACGGTCCGTGCTGCTCGAAGGTTCGTCTACAGTAGCTAGCTAGGGTAGTTGGGTCGTGTCGCGAGAGAGCCATTGGCAGCCATGGTACTTGAATTGGGAAAGTGCCAGGGGCCTTTGAAGCAGCTTGGAGTTTGAGGCGTGTGAGCTGTGAGCATCTCGGTCGCTGCGCTGCTCTGGGTAACCCACGTACAAGGTGCTCCCAATGGGCTAACAGTCGATTAAGTTAAGGCAACCAACCACCACACAGGGTTGATTCCGAATGATTCCGAACGTTCTTCCAACTACAAACAGTGTAAACCACCTTCCAACAGGTGTCCAATGGAATACCCTACACTGCTTGATCCAGGACGCACACCCGGACATCTTCAGGTCTACAGGGACAACATCGTTTGCCGCGTCCCCGGACCGTTTCGCCGAGCCTTTCCGCTTGGTTTCCTCCAACGGTGCGAGGGCTCCTCATCGCCGAGGTCCCGTGCGTTCGACCGTTCGCTTGCGGGATGGCCCTAGAAGGCCCTGGGACCGGATGGCATGCTGAATCCAAGAATGAGTCCAAAACATGCTCTTTGAGTTTGTGTTCCATTGTGATCTAATTCTAATTGTGTCTATATAAGTCTATAGTAGAGTCTCATAGAGTCCATTTGATCGGGCATTTGATTGAATTCCTGTGGAACTCTTAACAAGTTAACAAGTCCTCAAAACACTTCCTTTTCCCCCTTTTCATTTGAGGTGCTCTTTGAACTCCTGTCCTTTGGTAATCTGTTGGCGCGTTCCAATCAATGATGTTCTTGAACTGCCGCTAATGTATATAGACTTCTCGATCAATAAGAGCCCCCATATAAAACAGGTTTCACAAATGGGGGTTACAGTATTCATCAAGAGTCTATAGTATACATTACCCCTCATGGGTATGGGAACCCGAACTAGGATCTCGCCATATCTCGTACGGCAGGAAAACCATGTCACCATTCCTAAGCCCCAACTCTTCAAGATGTTCTGCAACATCAAGCCGCTGCCCATCACAGAACATGCAACAGAGGTTGAAGGACCCTATAGACTATAAGATAGGTACCCCAGGTGACGGGTCCTAGTTCAGGTCACTTCTCCTCTCTTGGGTGCTCTGGAAGAAGGAAGGGACCAGAGGCCAGGAGAGGCGCCACACGGCGGACGGGTCCAGTCCACGGGTCCAGTATCCGTCACGAGCGCAGTTCAACGAGGACCTCGAAAGGACCTACTAAACAGGAGTCATCGATCTGAATCCAGGTCACTCAAGAGTGCACACCGCACATGGAGAAGGTCTAATTCAGCTCACATCTTGCAAATGTCTGGAAGACTGAAGCAACTGAGGCAATTTGACGAACATTACTTCTATTGGGACCTGGTGAAAACACACCAAAAACATCAAAAAACATGTTTATACAAGGAGACAGTGTGCAACATACACAAGAACGCACAAGAAGCTGCACAAAAAAAATGGACCGAAATCCCTTCAATTCTGAGAGACACATGGAGTGACTCAAACAATGTACAGCCCTGGCGTGTTTTACAACTTTTCTGGAATATGAACGATGAAACCAGACTCTTCGTGCCTTGCTGTTTGGACACACTGGTTGATCTATCCCAAACACTCCAGGTATATGGAATACATATTCATATATACCATTAAACCTCCATTGGCCCTAGGCCCTAGGTCAGCCGACAATATGCCAGTCCCAAACGGGTCGTGTCTACAGGTGCTCCCCAACTCCTCCTGAGGTGCGAGAGCAGCAGAACTGGCTGCCGATTTGCCCCATGGCGCACGAGAGGCCGAGAGCTCGGCCTCGCGGCTCATCCCGTTGGCCCAAACCGAAACAAAAAGACCAAACTGCAGGGTGACGACTGGGGGCCGATCTGTCCGACAATGAGAACAACAAATGGGGGGGTTGGTGTTCAATGCATGGCCACACTGGCCAAAGCCTAAAGAAGTCGACCTACTACTCCTGCTCCCTCCCTCCCTCCCCTTCCCTCCGTCCGTCACCCTCATCTTCTTACGGAAATCGGCCACGTAGACTCTTGATTCATCACCCCCCCGATTTGGGATTGTACAACCTCTTCAATCCTGTATGGGGAGGGTCAATTGAATCAAGAGTCGGTCTATCGACACCACCTTCTTGTCACCCGGATGCGACGCGGTGCCGGTGTCCGAACGGAGGAAGGAGTTGGGTCATGGGGTGCCCAGAAACCCTATGGAATCCAGTCGTACCTTCTCAGGTTAGGTGATTGGAGACACTGTTATGTAGGTTTGGAGGGTCCAGTCGTACCTTGTGAGAAGGTACTTGGACCCCTATAGGAAACATCCACCTGCCCAGAAACATCCACCCACTTGGGGACGCAGGCCCCCGTGCGCCCTTATTTGTGACTCCGACGGCGGGTCCACAGACCAGATCGAGGAAAAAGGACACGATCAAGTACCATGGAAGTGATGAGAGACCCGTGAGGTTTCACATTTTATACGATAGCATGTTCGTTATGTGATACTATTAAATATATATATTGGACATGGATTACGTGTCTGCCGTTGGTAAATTCACGAGTGTATCACATCACAACCATCAAATGTAAATGCCACCACTGGCAGGTCCATGTGTTTCCCTGGGACGACGTGACGTGGATAACATCTGGCACACTATGGCTTCTATCTGTGTTAAGAAATATTCTTAAACAATAAAGTAGACTCTATTTTTTCGGAAGATTTTTTTTTTCTAGACTCTATTTTTGTCAAAAAGTACGTTTTCTTCTAAATACGTATAAAGTTCTAATTTGAAGGGCCCTGCCACAAAGAGACAAAAAAAGAGAGAGAGAGAGAAAGAGAAAGAGCGCGGCCCCTTAATGACAAACTTGACATCATCTTTGACCTCTTTCCATGATACGTACGTAGAGCAAAAGCTTCAGTTTGCTTAAATCTGTATCAAAAAAACTGTCCCCAACCTGTCCTCTCGGGTGGTCTGAAACTGGTCTGAAACCCTTTAGAAGTCCCATCGCAGCCTTCAACTTTGAGCCTCCCTCCCTCCTTCCCTCCCTCCCTCCCCTCATCTCAGATTCTTGAGCATTGTACCATGATAGAACATTATACAACATCCGTAGTTCCACTTTGCTTCCAAAAAGGTTCAGAACTTGCATTTTTGGTTCAAAAACCTGAAGTTCCGAACCGTCAGCACAAAACGCATGTGGAGCCGCAAAAGTGATATGATCACTGATGGTCACCGGAAGTTATTGGAGAACATGGAGTGGATGCATGAAGAGGAGTTTTTAATTTGGTACCACTGCGGCCGCAATTAGGTACTATTGGGCGCACCGAATTACGACCATAATGGTACCGAATTAAAAGCGAGCCGTCATTATCCTGTAGACCCCCGTACGTATCTCACTTACAGACCCCACATGGAATGACGCGGCGCAAGGGCCGCATTGTTTAATCTTGCGATCAAACATCCGCTTTTAGACAATGACCCTTGGATTTCCAGGGTGCAGATGTAAAATGACAAACTTGACATCATCTATGACCCCTTTCCATGATACGTACGTAGAGCAAAAGCTTCAGTTTGTTTAAATCTGTTTCAAAAAAACTGTCCCCAACCTGTCCTCTCGGGTGGTCTGAAACTGGTCTAAAACGCAGCCTTCAACTTTGAGCCTCCCTCCCTCCCTCCCTCCCTCCCTTTCCTCATCTCAGATTCTTGAGCATTGTACCATGATAGAACATTATACAACATCCGGGGATACGGGTCGAAGAAGTCGAAGACCATGCGCATAGCGATGCGGTTGAGCGATTTAGAGCTCGACGGAGAGCGATTTCATGGTCTAAGAAGGGTTGACAGGGAGAAAATAGAATAAGAAACCTTATTTAGAGTCTACCTGCTAGCCACATTTCTTAATTAAAAGGTTATAGTTAAGAAATAATCTAGAGTCTACTCTAAAAAAGCATCTTTCTTAACAGAGTCATCAGCCGTATATAATATACAGTGCTCGAGAGATCTTGCCCATATCTAATAAACTGCTTGTCGACTCACAAAAAACCTGCAGACTTGGCCAAGCCACACAGTAGAAGGCCCCAAACGCGTCGCGGGCAGAGCAGTTGAATGGCTGGCCCAAGGGCTGCGACAGGATGAATGGTTTGCACATGCGAAGCTGCACAATGCCATTGAACCGAACACGACCTGTCTGGGACTGGCATACGACTGCAATCCCATTGGGATTGGGCCAATGTAGTGGCCAATGTATACATGAGAAATTCCATACATGGAGTGTCTGGGATTGGAATGTCTTGCAGTTTCCCTACACCTCCAAGTACCTCCTCAGGTTCGGTATGACTGGACCCTCCTGGCACCCACCCCAGTCCCACATCTGAAACGAAGGTACGACTGGAGGCCTAGGTTTTGAAACGCTGTTGCCAAATCCGCCAGCCACCCAGAAACGATCTGCGGGAACTGTCGGAACTCGACCGCATGTGAGCGAGGTCGGGCGCCGACTGGAAGCTGACCAGGGACCGATGGGAAAGCCATTCAGACCGACCCACCTTTTGGAAGACCACGGGAGGCCCAGAACATGGAGAAACATAACAGGCAAAACATTCCGAACGTCTCCGATGGTTGGAATCACTTCTAAAAACTAAAAGAGGTCAAACACCTCGAACACCTCGAACGGTTTTGTGGTTTTGGCAGAACTACTTCTCGTTGGCGACCTTCGACCGTAGATCACAGCAACTGTCTGACTGGCTCAGTCCCGCGGTAGGCTGCCCCTGGCCACGGCAAAGGCGTCCAGGATGGACCTGTCTTGCGAACGCGAACGCGAACGCGACCGGACGGGCGCCAGACCCGCAGGCGAAGGAAGGATCACGGGGGTCACGTGGTTTCAAAGACAACAGATTGCGCCAAGTATTTAAGTGTAAGAATCACATCTATTTCTACTCAATGCAATTCCAGTGGGGTTCGAACCCAGTACGGATCCAGTACAAATGATGACTGCGAACCGGTCACATTGCGGACACATTGCGGATGGGTTTAATCTCAGGCGACGTGGCCATCTCCACGGCTGGCTCCCTGCCCCCAGTCATGCAAAAAAGTTCACACTATGACATCCCCCAGGAGTCACAAAGGGGTGCTTTATGGAGGTTAGGGGTGCCCATGTTCCACTCACTTAGGGACCAAACACCACCCCTTTGTGACTCCTGGTCTGTATCTCTTGCCGACTGTTCCCAGCACCCAAAGGCATATGCTAAGAACCGGGCAAAAGAACTCTTCCCAAAGAGCCAAAAGTTTGTTGGGCTATAGGCAAGGTGGGAAAACATGCCCTAACTGCCGGGATAAGGATGTAATAATGTTGATGTCAGAATTTATCTCTTCCTTCGCCTGTGCTAGATGTTGGTCACTCTGACTCTATACCAAAAGGATCAACAACCTAATCACCAACTGGAAAGTGTCTTGCACTTGCCCAAATCGGAGTCCAGTCGGCCATGCACTTGCATGGTCCGGAGATACGGAGACCCGGGTGACCCGGACTTTCTTTGACTTCGGTGGTGCCAATTCCATGTAAGCAACTCTTCCACAAACGGATCCCCATGGATCCAGTTAACCCCAAGGGTGTCAAACCCCCCATTCATGGGGATTCTGTGGTACGGTCACATGGAGGGCCTGGGTGGCTCGTCCCATCCAGGGGCCGTGGATGTGACGTTCGGGGCACCCCGATACACTCCGGTCGTTCGGCACCCCGTTCGCCACGCTTCGCCGCCGGCGGGGCGAGTCCCCCTGCGAGGTGGGCGAGTCCTCCCCTGGGCCGCGGGTCTCGGCGAACGACCGGGGCGACTGTGAAAACTGCAACTTCTGTCGATGGAAGATGGCAATAGACTTCACCCACGCTTCATTCCCACTGATTAAAGGGTCAAACATCGGGGGTTCCCGGATCCTCACCCTGTGTCGACACTTGGGCAGTTCCAACGCGTGGAAGTCCGTCGGTGGGTTTCCTTCGTTCAGACCACCACCCCCATTGCCATAATTACTGCATGAGTTCGTCTGTGATATGATCGGTAAGTGTAGTGGAATATGTGGTGTCAAGTCGCGTATTCAAGTTGAGCAGCACATGGTGGATCTGTCCACATAGTCCATAGTTCTTTAGTTTCATGGGTCTGTCTGCTCTATCCATGTCTTGTCTACCCACTCGATCTCCTGAAATGGTCGTCCACAAATCCACCAAAGAAATCTCCGCCCTTTCTCGCTTGAAGTTCTACGTTTATAAGGGAATTTGTTGTTGTTTTCTCCTACACACACTTCGATAAGTTTCATCCAGTAAGAGAACCCACGCAGAAACGAATGCAAGAACGGTAAGGCAGCTGAGTCAGCTGAGTTGGAGATGTTTCAACAAAACATGTTTCAATCTCGAAAACAATCAGCTGCAAAGCGGCTGTGCATCTGCCGGAAAAATGGTTTTGGTGGATATCATGAGAAACAACCATGGGAGCAAACCACAGCGGTGGAGATTGCGTTCACATTCCCTTCCGGCTGAATCCCATAGCTTTGTTGGCATGGCCAGGGAAACAGCTGCCACCATAAAGTGTTGAAACCCTTAGGCACAGGGTGGGACACACACACAAATCGCCGCTTTGCGGCGCGCACTGGCGTTATGAAGGCAACAACGCAGGAGACAGCACAATTACTTAGGTTCTAGAAAAGTGAATACTTAGCCCTTGATTTGACTACTTAGCCTTTGGCTGACAAACCTGGTTACATACCTGAAAAGCCGACCTAGAAAGAGAAACGAAAAGGCAAGCAAGAAAGAACCACACCTGTGGGGTAGGGAAACGAGCCTCAAGAACAACCTGACAAGCCTGAAGGAACACCTAACAAACTAACGAAGAAAGCGCAAGAGAGAAAGAGGGGAGGGGGGTTGGGGGTGGGGGTGTGTATGTGTAACCGTAGGCCCGGCGGCATATAGTTGGTTCGTGAAAAACGGCGGAGCAGTTAAGATATTCCGATGCAACACGATGTGCAGTTAGTGAAAACCCACACATGGTCTTAGCGCCTTGCGGGGGATCACACTGCGCACCCAAGTGGGAAAGCGCAGCGATACACACTTCGATACCCAGTAAGCGAATCCACACAGAAATGAATGCAAGAACGGTAAGGCGGCTGAGTCAGCTGAGTTGGAGATGCTTTAACAACAAATATTTCAATCGCGCAAACAATCGGCTGCAAAGCGGCTGTGCATGGGAGATGTGCGTCCACATTCCCTTCCAGCTGAATCCCATAGCTTCGTTGGCATGGCTAGGGAAACAGCTGCCATGCCCCCTGCTTTCTGGTGGGAGGGAAGCCATAAAGTGTTGAAACCCTTAGGCACAGGGTGGTGCACACACACACACTTAGTCACAGGGTTTTCAATATAAACAATCCACAGTGAAATGGATGTGGGAACGGAAAGGCGCAAAATCGGCTCAACTGAAGTGTTCAACAATGTTGCACGTCAAGTCTGCGGACGTACCTCGACCTAACCAGCCTGGAAAGCTAGAGAGGGTCGTAGTTATAAAACGTCACAAAAATGTTGCAGGTACATGGTTGAGCGTCCTCAACCACTTCCCTTTCAGTGACCCAGCTTCGTTGGATCAGATTGGTCACTGGAAGCCTGATCCCCCTGCGTTTCTTGGAACGAACTCCTGGAGACGGAGGGTGACACACACAGTAGGCCGCTTCGCGGCGCTCCCTCGTTCAAGTGGCATTTCCTTTCTGTGCTTCAAAAAGCGTCGACACTCTGCTGTGGAATGCCCTTTGGCAATGTACAAGTTTTGACCTGAATAGGTACCCAAAAGCCTTAGAAAAGAAGAAAGAAATAAAGAAAGACAGAACATGCAAAAACGGAAAGGGCAAGAGAGAAAGACAGGTGTAGCGAGAGAAAAGTTACTACTTAGCCCTGACTAAAAAACCTGAGGGGCAGGGAAACGAGTCTCAAGAACCACCTAACGAGCCTGAAAGAAAACCTAACAAACGAAGAAAGCGCAAGAGAGAAATCGCGGGGGAAAAGGGAGGGGGTGTATGTCCATGTGTGTGTTTCCCTAAGCGCATCCAGTATCCATAATCCAACGAGTGCAGGAAACGCGAAATCGATGTGTAATTCAATGGCTTCAGCGACCGTGACAGTGAAGGGTCCACATGGGCTGTGTGTGAGACACATCGATCTGTAGAGTTGCTGGGGCGACCCAGCCACGCCACTGGAAGTGACCTTCCTCTTGCAGGTCGCGAGCCTCGTGGCAGGTCGCTGAGCTAGAGATGACCAGGATATAGGGGGCAATCCTCCAGCCATCCCTGTGGCTTGTTTTGTGGGGATCATGTCTGAACTCACGAGGCTGCTGGTGCACCTGTTCGTGCCTACAAGTGAGGGATTGTCGGACAATTCAATGGGATCCTCCAGTGAGCCAAGCTGAGCTGATGCAATGATTTGACTGAAGCTGGCTGAGAGTTCCATGAAGTCGTCACCCTGACGGGGCCTGATTTCTTCGGAGAGGGGTGGTTGTGAACCTTATAACTGAGTGGATCGTGAGAACCTTATGCCTGCAATAAGCAAATTGTGGGAGAAGTTCTTCAGTCTTCATGCCCGCAGATCTAGTGATATAAGACCAAGAACAACACGTTTCCAGTTCCTGGTCTTGTAAGCCTGAGATCCGCACGGCAGTGAAGACATCCGGCTGAAATGATGCCTGCCATGCATGGAAAACACAGCCGAATCCGAGACAGCTACTGGTATGCCAAAATGCTCCGTGGCTCTGCGTATGGAATAATTCCATTGAATATAATAAATGCAGTACAAATCAGTTGGGGTGGTTTCAGGGATGAAATCAGTTGGGGTGGTTTCAGGGATGAATTGACAAATAATATCTCTCTCTCTCTCTATGTATATTATAACACACACATTATACACACATATATATAATATATTTGTGGGTTCTATACATATTACGCACACATGTGTATATATAATATACTATTAACCAATGTATATGTGCACAAAATTGGATCTTCCATGGTGGGGGTATAGCAAGTCGGGGTACTGTATAGCTACAACCCGGTCACACCCAACATGGATGGCTGCTTCCGACTCTACTCCATTCATCGGTGGAAGCTACACCAGTCATCTTTGCTCCTGTTTCAGGCTCTGAAAAAGCTCCGAACAACGGGACTGGCCGTCCAGTCCATCGTCGGCCCATCGGACCTATTCGTACATGAATATGAATGATCCTTCCGAAGTTTGCAGGACCAATACTCGATTCTTGCACCTGATGAGCACACGGACCACAGCCCAATAAGGGCACAAAGGGCTTACTCGCGCCGGGTTTAACTCGCATCAGGTGGTGTAAAGTCACATCAGGTAGGAAAAGCACCAACTCTCTCGTCCAACCCACCACGCCCGCTTTTCGTCCATCGCCCTCACCATCGCTTCGACCAGCGACATGTACACTGCGCGGTTCTGCGCAAAACGCCGGACGACCCACACGGCGAAACGGAAGTCAGGAGTCGAGAGCTTTCTTGGCATCTGATGGCATCTGCGTATAGGTATCATCTTTGGAGCCATCCAGTGAATCTAGTGAGAGAATGGGAGGCCCTACCCAATAACTCTCCTCACTGGAAGGGCCCGTCACGGGAGGCACCTGAGCTGAGATTGTTTCGCCGGGCTTCCTGCTGGCTGAGATGCTTCTTTCGCGGCTCGTGCTCCAAAACAAGAACCACATACTTAAGTTCCAGGTAAATAAGCACTTGTCATCAGCCTTGGGAGAAAACCCGCCTTTTACATGGCACCGACATGGTCCAAGTCTTTGTGGAGGACATGTCAGGTTTTCCGAGGTGAGTTCAGAACGAACATCTTGGTGAGACCATGATACCCATGACTTCCGGGCCGTTTCCCAGGAACAAAAGGTTGAAGTATGTTGATCTTGTTGGACTCCAGTGGGGAAACCAATCCCAAAAATGGGTTACAAAGATTGTCCAGTGTCTGGGTAAGATCCTGGCATCAAGCGGTCTGGAAGCCTCTTCCCTCTACTGCAAGCTCTCAACGGGGTCCGGGCTCTGGCACAGCGTCATTCTCCAGGTTTGCCACAAGGCCATTTCGGAAAGAGGCTGGATCGCACATCCTGCAAGATCAAGGCAACATGTTTCAACATGTTGAACGTTTTTTGTGCAGAGGTGGGATTCCGAAAATTGTTGGAACCTATTTCAATACGATGTTATACGCCTCTTCAAATAAACAAATTCAAATATAAATACGTCGTGGGGAGAAGGGAAAGCCATGCATCTTAGGAGAATAGCCAAGACCTTGCAATACTCTTGACAAGCAACGTGCAAATCATGCAAAGCAACTAGGATACTGATACTCCAACAAATCGTCACCAGTCTGAGCAACACCTCCAATCATCTCCGATAGGCTTTAGGTATAAATAATGTATCAAAACAGGACATGAAATGATGTCCTATCTACACGTATCAGTGACCATGGGGCCGTGCCGGCCGTGCCCACTCTTAAATCATGGGTCGAGTCTAAACACCACCTCAGCTTCTCACTGGAACTCTTGGTATCTAGAATCGATATAAACCCCAGCCCTCAAATCACGGGAAGGGTCAAAACACCACCTTTAATCACTGGAACTCTTGGTGTTTCTTTCAGACCTGACCACCCCATGGCCATCTCACGCTCGCCATCGCCTGGCCCGTCTCTCCCCGGGTCCGTGCGCCTGGCCCGCGTCGGCGGAAAAGGCGGAGGCATTCGTCCCCGGCTTCCCACCACACCTCAGGTAGTGCAGCCGTCCATGGCTGAGGAGGCTCCCGATTCGACACTCTGGAGGGCATGGGGGGAGGGTCCATGAGGGTCCAGGAGCGTCATCTGAAGAAGAAACAGCGTCATTTGATTCCAATCTCGTTTTGAAACAGCAATGGGTTTCATGTCAACAATGTTGCCGCTGGTTCATTCAACACCTTCCTGCGTTGATTGGTCCAAGGCCAATCCCAAAAAAGAATAAGAGGAGCTCCATGGTTCTCCACAAATATCCACTGCTGCCATCGCTCGGTTTGGAGCGCCACTGCTGAGGTTTCGAGCATGTTGGGCACTTGCTGGAGGCATGTGACCTCGACTCAAGTTCCGGACCGGGTTGACGTGGGGTGTATATGTAGGGCACGGCATATATACCAGGCCCACAGAGTGCCTGAGAACAAACAAATTAGTTCATGTTCACCTTCCATTGTTTTTTTGAGCGGGCTTCTGATCGAGCTGTGACCGTACTATCTAAATGGACATTCCATTGAATCATGTTAATTGATCTGAAATTCTTTTCAAGTTCATCAGGCCACTTCATCTCGCAAACTGACCATGCCCAGTTTTTGAACCAACTTTGGCCCCGCATGCCATGCGGTGCCGCCGCATGCGGTGCCACCGGCTGCGTCCGGCCTCCTCACGGTCACAGTAGCCGAACAGGTTGCAAATCAGGTCGAAGTCCCTGCGCCGCCCGTGGATGCGCTCCAGGCGGTGTGGATCCGGCTGCGTCGATCGGCTCGTCAGATGGGATGGTCCAGTCTTCGGATTCTCATATCAAACAACCACCAAAGACAAGCGGTGTGCGGTGCAAACGCAGATACCATACCGTATGGCGTGGGTACTTAGAGGATCCTACATGGGGTTGATGTATGTCCCCCCATTCCATGGATGGCTGGGTATGCTGCTCTCTTCCAAGCAAGTGATTTGGACGGGTGAGCCCCCTCACGTCCCAAGCGGACCCACGCGCCTGGCATAGACTTGTCGAATGAGAGCCTTCACATCCTCTGCCAGGGTGTAGGCACCTGAGTGACGAAGAAAAGCCCGCGGACCGGAGAAGAAGACCGTCTTCAGTGAACAAGTCCTTGGGGAGGTTGTGTGGGTCCAGCCAAAGCTGCTTGGCCATATAGAGACATGCATGATTTTGAGGCTGCGATTCTAGACATGTCTCTTTCTCTTGCGGTGCTGCCAGAAACTTGCGGTGCAAGTATTTACTCAGTGTGTTGCCGTCTCACCATCGTCTGTCCCTCTGGGGCACGTGCTAATGTTGTTGCACACATAGTTGTGCAAGGTATTGCTCGGCCTGCAGTCATAAGACGTTTCCGGAATCTATAAGAACACATCGGGTATCTCCCAGGGGTCCCAGTACCAGGGCCCAGTGGCTGATAACACATTGGGTATATCCATGTATGTCCCATGACCCGTGCCCAGCGGATCATGGTTCAGTTGCAGGTCATTCCCCGAAAAGGAGGTGACAAGCCTTCTTTGTTCTGACGGTTCTTGGTACGCACCCTCTGACCACAGAATGACGGCCGGGCCATCTATTCCCTTTGGACTTCCGTTCGGCCTGCCAAAAAAAGAGTTGATCGACCAAAGTATTGGATGGTAAGGGTCTTACAAAAGGGTTCTAAGATTTGTTTCAACTTCATATGGGATGTAAAAGCCATTCGTTGATTCGATCAAAGCCTGTTAAATTGGTGGGCCAGGAAGCCGGCATTGGTGGACGTGGACGTCCAACCGAACACCGAGAGGAAGCCGGTCATTGAAGGGCGGTCGGCCAGGCCACCGGTCGCTCGCTCCGATTCGACCGTCACAAACGGCACCGTGTTTTCAAGCAATTGGTACGATGGCAGAGCGAACGAAGAACTTTCTACCGGGCTGGCTTGCTTTTGAGTGGGGGTGTTCCCATATCAACCAACAAGGGGTTCGCAGGTGATCCACGGAGTCCTGGGTCGGTGAAAACCTGGGCCACAACTGGGTCAGCTGACCAGTTATATAAGTACATGTACGCATAGTTAGATCACAGTGACCAGCGTGACCAGTTCAACTCATGGCTGTCGAGTGACTGTGACATTGGCTTCATCATGTGCATTATTGGCTTCATCAAGTGCATTCCAACACTAGGCTAGCTGAGCATCCGACATGGAGATGTTGAAGTAGCCACGCTCGACCCTGGGCCGTCTGAGCAATCCCTGGTGTCTCACCAATGCTGGTGTGTTGTTGATCAAGCAAGAAAAAGGACACGGCTGCAGATCTTGAACATGATACACTGTAAGATCTGTAAGGTGTTGAAACAGGTTGTTGAGGCATGAAACAAGGTTTGACTGGGATGAGAACACATGAGACCGGCTGAATAGAATCTATACAAGGCCTTTCGGGATTAAACACCGGCCCGGTTCCAAAACGCCAAACTCCCAAGACACCACCTAAATGGATTTTAGACTGAACATGTGTTTCTGCGCCACTCTCGGATCATCAAATCTCACCAACAGTTCAGCTTACATTGGTGCTTTTCACCTGTTGCACACGTCCAGAACAAGTCCAAACAGCAACAGCGGATGTCACCGCTTTCTCCTCAGCATCCGGCATGAGGTCATTGAATTTCTGTGGCAAACCACGATTGTCAATGGCCGTGGTATTGGCCTTGGACCGCTGCAGACCGCCGACCCCGTGTCCACCCAGAGTCGCCAAACACACCGACGCCGCTCGGCCCCTGTCAACGCAGGCACCTCCCAAAAAGGTCGTCCAAAAAGAAACGGAGTCGGGTCTGCGAACTGGCTCTGGTTTGACCATAGGCCAGACACTCCGTGTATGGCATATATAGATATATATATATATAGTACATCATGGTGGTTGTAGGATGCATCATGGGCAAACATATTCATTCATATCGGACAACAC